AGTTACGCAGTAATGTAAGAAAAGAGAATGCTGAAGGGAGTTTATAAGTGTGAGTATATAGTCATTAAACACTTACATAGCATGTTTATTTGGCCAAGTAGGGATCAGAGACAGAAACCTTGTTGGGGGAAAGAGTATTGTAGACCAGAAAGAGTAAGAGGCCATCCTGTCTGGGGTTGCACATCCAATGAGATGAATAAAGACTAGTGTTGTTAAATTGAAGAAATATGTGGAGTACCATGAGTTATTGTCTAGCAACTTATCCTCTACCCTTGAACTTGGATTGCAATTATTTGGCTTAAAGAACCCCTAATTTTCACACATCCTAACCTGACTAACAGACTTTTGATAGGATTGCATATCTAGGCTGCCACATTTTGGTAGTATGAGCCTAGACTTTTACATTAGCTTTCTTCGTCTATCATGGGGCTTTATGGGATTTTTACAGGAATTAGAAAGAAGGTACAAGTGAGGGCCTGAAACCATAGCTTCTGGATTTCAGGTCCAGATCATTTGCCAGCCCTTAATGTCTCATCCGTGGCATTAGCTCACCATCTTGGCTTATTTTGTCAAATCTTGCAGACCTTGAGCTAATCTCCTTTAGAAATATCTCTTGCTGTCTCCTAAGCATGTCTCATGAAAAGAAGCTTTAAAGCTGACTAATTCTGTTTATCACTCTCAAGCTAGAGGTCTTAGCATTAGATCCCACCTAATCTGAAAAAGGGATGCTAGGAAGAAATAAAATGGAGAGTTTGGAGATACAGACAGTCCGACATTTGGAACTCTAAGTTACTGTCTCTAATTGAAATGGTAAGAAGGAGAAATAAATATAGTTCGTCTACTGTATTTCCTTCACTCATCTTTATCAAGGGGAAGTAGCAGAGTGTGGATAAAGAGGCTCAGAATATAAAGGCCTGGTTTGGCCCTTTCAAGTGTTCCTCAATCCATAGGTTTTTAGTTTATTTTTAAAAGTTGGCCGCCTTTTTCACTTTAACTCCTTGAATTTTCTCTGAGTTTTAGCAAGACGACTTTGGTGTGTTGGGGGTACCCCTCAATGCTCGCTAACTCGCTGCACACACCACCGCCACCACCCAAATTGTCATCCAATTTTATACTTGCTCAGAAGCAGTGAGAACAGAATTGAGTGTGAGATTAAAAGTACTGAAATTGAGTAAAACACTGGCCTCCACCGAGTAATTTACTTTAAAAACAGTGGAGGCCAGCTATTTCAAGTCTTTTTGTGTCTGAAACCAAAGATACTTTTTGCTAAAGATAACTTTATCCCTTAGTGCCTCTTAGAGAACAGTTATTCATTTAAAAACTTCTTGCAATACATTCTTTGATGAAAAGATTGAGAAAGCCAATTGGAACTGGCTTTTTTTTCCTGTTGAAATCCTGATTTTGGAATTTATTACAAGATTTCAGTATTGTAGGCCAGAATGAGTTAGGGTGCCAAAGCAGCCGTAGTGGCTTAAAGAGTGGAAATGAGAACAATCAGATACAAATATTGCATTCTGTGATTTCAGTGAGTATGGTATGAAAGCTGATAAGGTAGGCTAGTGACTTGGGGTAGTCTAGCAGTGTAGACAAGTGTGCCCTCATGGGGTGTCATTCAGTTATAAATCTGTTTTCCTGAAGTCTTAGTGAATAGAGGTTTATGTCTAGAATATTAGTAACTATATCTAAATATCTTAGGATGCCATTTCAGATTTTATAAATCTTTTATTTAAAGCTGACTAGGAGAACAAAATGTGTGATCCATAACACTTTAAATGAAGAAAGTGAAGCTGGAAAGCAACCAATAGTAAAGCAATAGTAAATCCAAGGAGGAAAATCCCAGTCTAGGAACTGGCTGAGGACCCTGTAGTCTCTCTGCATCTGGCAACAGAATATATGCTGTGACCTCTTTAGTGGCACCGGAGCTAGAGCCATGGAGAAGGCATGCACATGCACAGAGCACCAGTTTTCTCTTCAGACTTCTGGATAACCAAGCGACTAAGGCTCTCCCTTCTCCTGGGTTTCCCCATTTTCATGTGTCAAAAATCTGGAGTGTCTTTCTGGGTCTCTCCTGACTTTGCTTTCCCACGATTGGCCAAGACTATCATCTTTGCAGGCTAACTTCGAGCTTACCCTTTGGGTTGGGGCTGGGGGTCAGTCCTTCCCTACAGGAACATCTCTGTAGGGTTGCTCACAGCATAGCTTCTCAGAGAGAAAGTGACAGCGTAAGAAAATAACTGACTGGAAGGTGCAGTCCTTCTGTAACCTAATGTTGGACATGGTATGCCATCACTTCTCCTCCATTGCAGCTGGTCACATAGATCAGTGTCAGTGGGGGCCACTTTAGGATGTGAATACTAGTGGCAAGGATCTTAAGGACCAACTTGATGGCTGTTGACTACACTATTCCAATTGTAGGTTCTCTATCCAGGACACTGTGATCAACTAGCTGGTATCTGTGGTACCGATTGCTCTAGCTGGGAAGACTCACCGCCATGTATAGACTGTGCGACTGGTCATAGGTGGGGCTGGCACTCATGCAAATTCATTTTATCCTCTTGGATGTTCAAGGACTGTATCTTCCATCGGTAAATGCATTGTGTTGCCTTTTACATGAAGTAAACTCATAACTAAGTACATAGTTCACAATGTTGTTGGGATACAGGAAATACAATCAAGGCATAAATCAACCGTAAATCAAGGCTGATATGCTGAATTGTTAATAAGAGCCAATGAATAAGATTCGGTTTTAGTTTCATGTGCCAGTGACTAGCATTTTAAGCTCAGGCAGGTCATTTAACCTTTCTGAACTTTGTATCAACTGACAACTGTAGATGTTGTAGGCTATTTCTAACAATGCTACTACTACTAAAAGGGTTTATCGAATGGCATTCTAATTATATGATTTTGATATTCCCAACAAGTTTCATTTCAGGCGACAATGATCTGTATAGCCCTTGTATAGAAAGGGAAATGCATTACAAGCACGCTCATGAGTCATGGCTAACATAATGTATTTTTAAAATAGGGTAGTGACAGCATTCACTTACAACATACTGCCATGTGCTAGGTGGCTGGTATAGAGAAGGCTGGTTTTACAAGACGGTACATAAACTGCAGATTCCTTTTACAGAGACAGTAGCAGGGTGATCCTAAAATTGCTTTTGTTGGTCATATATGAAATTTGCTGTTGTCTGTTAAGAATGTGTGTACATTCATAAAACCTTTATTGAGGCACAATTTGCATGCCACAAAATCCAGCAATTCATAATAATTCAATGATTTTTGGTAAATTACAGTTCTGCAGTAATAACCACACTTTAATTTCCTATCATCCCCCAAGATTCCTTATATCGATTTATAGTCAATTATCTTTCACACTCCTATTTCCAGACAACCATTTATCTACTTTTTATCTCCATAAATTTGCCTTGAATCCGGTACTTTCATAAAGGAAGTCATTTGAAGTAATCTAGGTTGTAGTACATTTATTCTCTTTATCATATTCCTTGGCATTGATGAACCACATTTTGCTTGTTGCTACACCTGTTGATAGACATTTGGTTGCTTCCACAGTGATTATCATGACTATTTCTGCTATGAACCTTTATGTACAAGTCTTTGTAGACATATGCTTTCTTTCCCGTGGTATATAACTAATAGGGGAATTGCTTGGGTTACATTTTTCTGAAAATTTGCCAAACTGTGTTCCAAAGTTGCTACACCATTTTACTTTCCCATCAGCAATAGATGCAAGTTCACGTTCCTCTCCACTCTTGCCAACAGCTGCTATTGTCTGTCTTTGTTATTACAGCCACACATTGCTGGGCAGTGAGCTAAGTGGAAACTGGGGTGTCTTCTTCTGTTAGGTGGACCCAGTTTCAGAAGACCACCTGCCTTACTGACAAACCAGTCGTGTACTAGTAGTTATTGTAACAACTGCCTTCCAAATAAATTCTACCTCACTGTGCCCAAAAAAAGCAATTCCTATTTACTTGCATAGATGGGCTTATGTGGTTCTTTTTTATTACCAAAACCATGCAAACCATACTAAGAATGCACCCACCTATTTCAAATAGTTCATTCACCAATGCCACTCATTTTGTAGCTAGCAACTTTTTTCCCTTAAGATTTATTTATTTATATACTCAAGAACTGCGGTATAGGTCAGAGTTGTAGGGGGGTGAGAGTATTCACCAGAGACAGAGTGGGGAGCAGAACAGGCAGATGTATTGAAATATACTGCTGATGGAAGCAGCAGGCAAGTCAGGAGAGGTCTGCCACACCATGTGGGTCAGCTCCTTAGAGGGGCATCGAACTTGTGATGTGATGCCGTGGCTGCATATCGCTTCATAGTGCTGTTTTAAACTCTTGTACCACCAGGGAGGGCCCAGTAACAAATTTTATAAGGTTTATTTTTATTTGTTGTTGCTTACAAGAACTGTAATAGAGGCCAGAGTATGTATAGGGGGGTGAGAGGATTCACAGGAGACAGAGTGGGAAGCAGAACAGGTAGATTGACTGAAATACACTGTTGAGGGGAGCAGTGAGACAGAAGCAGTCTGCTGTGCCATGAGGGTCAGCTCCCTTGTGGGGGATCAAGCTCAGGCCACAGTGGCTGGAGATAGTTTGAGAGCCTGAGCCTTGATCCCTGTGCCACCAGGGAGGCCCCTTGTAGCTTACAATTATATTTCAGAGACAGAATAGACACAGATTTTTTTTTTTTACATTTTTTTTAACACTTACTTATGAAAAGGTATACTTCAGACAAGGAAAATCCTCTGTGTGCTGTGTATTTTATTCAGGAAAAAATGTTTCATTTCCCTCTAGGGTTAATTTAAAGGCTCTTAAGGCATTGCATAGTTTTTTTACAAATGTAAACAAAAAATGAAATATAATGTACTGTTATAATTTTAGAAACTACTTACTAAGCATATTACTCAGTATAAATTTGCTGAATAACTTCCCTAGGAATACATTTCTTTCTTAGGGAACTAAATGATACAAAATAATGACTTAAGTGTTTATAACAAAATGTTATCAATTTTATTAAAAGCAGATTCCATTTCTTCACATAGTTAAGTTTCTTTATTGAAGCCTTCATATTATATTATTTCATAAAAGTAAGTTGCCTCAGTGAGAAGTCACTGATAAAGACATGTACAGAGTTAGCACCACACAACTATAAAGGCAGGTAGCCACAACCTTTCCAACATGCACAATCTCCCTTTACACATACACACATATATTTACAGCTAATAAATAACAGTTAAAGCCAAACATTATTGAAATAGCTATGTGTACACACACACATACAGGTAATCTTTGGAAGCCAGGGTTTCCAGTATCATGAACTAATTGGATAATCTTTTCTTCAATTTATGTACCCTTGATCCAAACCCAAATCCAGAAAATAACTGAATTAGGAATAAAGGGGGATGCCGACAACAAATCACATATCATTTTATTTTTTAGAGAGAATTCATTCCAAGCCTGCTGATATGTATCACAACATTTGTTCCACAATGTACAGCACAACCATACTTCTCAGACAGAGAGCTGAGGTTTTGGCACTTCCAGAACAATTCTTACTGCAACATGTTCTACTATGTTCCTTTATTGCTTACCTTTGAAGCCAAGCTAAATAATAAATGTACATGTGGACTGGATACGTGAGTGTGTGTTCAGATACCCACACATGTCCACAGCTCAGATGTTCAGCAGTGCTCTCTGAGATATTTGACTTCTGTGTCATTTTATACTAACATTAAGAAAAGCATTCTGAAAATATGAGATCTAGTTTATATAAATAATTGCTTAGTTACTCTTTACTAGTTGTTAAAAACAACTCTTGGCATTTCATGTAAGGCAAATAGAGGATTCCTCAAATCCCTGCAATGATTTATGAGCACTATTTATTAATATATCCCAATAACATTTCCATATCTTTATGTAGTAAAAATGGTACTTCTCTAAAATTTGTGGGCATTTGCATGATGCAAAATATGACTTTGAGTATATTTTCTTATCAATACCACAGAGGAAAGACATGCTCAAAGTGACTGAAGCATGGTGATAAACCAGAAATTGGTAGTAATGATTGGTAGTAATGATTTAAATTAATGAATATAATTTTGAAAAATCTCATAATAAAATTATGATATCATTTCCATTCTTTGTCATTAAAAATTAAGCCTGCAGAAGATATAGGCTCTTTTTAAACATCTACCCAGAGAATATTGTTAAAATATAATCTTCAGACAAAGCAAGCATTAAACAATAAGCAATAAGGCCTATTAACAATCTGGATTTAATATCACCTTTAATTTGTAACTTAGTTATGATGTAACTGATAACAGCGTGTTTTATTTAAGGTTCAATGCTTTGTCAACTCCGGTCTTCCATTCTCTCTCTGAGCCACAAGATCCTAGTTAACCCAATGATAAAAGAGAACCATTCCAAGAAAAAGTCAGGTTTTATGATCAGTCTGTGAATGAGTCTGGTTTATGCCATAAAAAATATTTCTGTACATTTAGAGTTAGAAAAAAGCTCGAATCAGAGAAATGCAGAAATCCCAATTGAATTATGAAGCTCTAATCAATTTTGGGATATAACTAGGCATAGTTCATAACGCTTTATTACTTTATGATGGGCCCAAACAATTCTTACTTCTTTCTCAAAGGGCAATATGCACTATTTTTAAATATCTACTAGCTTTAAATGTTGGAAGATATGTGTCATGTAAGCCACCAATATTCCTCAAATTGAATTAACCACTGTTTAGTATTTGAGACTATCTCCTAAAATAACTAGCACAGGTATAGATGGGGTTATTTAATACTCAGGAAAATCCACTTTTAGCCATCCAAAATACTGGACATCTTTAGTAAAAGTTACTTCATTCTTCACAGAATTCATGTGCTCTTCTCTATATATAATTGCCCACTTTCTGAGGAAAAAAAAAAAAAAGGAAAAATGATCATTTGTCATATGCTTTGTATTTTACAAGTCTTTCTGCCTGCTGGGATCGAAAGACACTAATACCTACTTAACCAGGTGCCAAAGAGTATCATTTTCAGAGAGCTAAGCCAAAGGGCTGCAAAGTTAGGAAGACTTTTATTGCTAAAACTTGTCAAATGCAATGTGTTTCTTTTCTTGTGATATCAGACTCCTAAAGATATATCAAAAAGTGAGAAAAAGAGATTCTTTTATTTGATTAATTTAGTCACAGAAACTGCAAAAGGTTATTAGTCTATTTTATAATTACCTCTTAGATAAAGTTCAGTGCATTAAAAATGCTGACTAAGTAGCTGTGGTCTCAGTAATCTTGTAATCATGAGGAATGTAGTTTTAAACTTTCCTAGATTGATCCTTGCAACTTACATAAATAATGTGACCAGAAATACTTTTAAACAGTTGGCTTTATTTCCAAAATTTTTCATTTTTTTTATACTCATGTATAGAATTAAAGTTGTAGATGATTTTTGGGAGAACATCTGTGTCTCTGTATGTTTTTATGTGACATCTATGTGTGTATAAAACTTCACATAGGAATTCCTTTCTAAAAGTTATGTGGATGCAAAATTACTTAACTTTAGTGGTGAGGAACAAACAAAATACTAACCTCCATACCAGTTCTCCATTTCAAGTTTCTTTGAATGCTCTTACATTAATGTTCCTTAATTTAAATGTCCTCATCTTATCATGCAAAATATATGCCATAATTTCATTTATATGAAAAATATAAACATTAGACATATTTTGCCTATTTTTCTTAATCTAGCCACAGTGAACATGGATAAATTACATGATAAAATAGAAATTAAACATGATAATCTCATAGAACAGTATTTAATATACTTCTTCTGTACTTTTATTCCTATTATATGCTTCTGTCTATGCATATGACTGGGAGAAGACAAATAAAAACCAAAGGATGCTCTCATGACCAACCTTTCCCATCATTTCTTCTATTACCAGCTTTTACTCCATAATCTATGCTTTCCTCTCTTTAGATGTGAAACCCATTGGCACTTGACATTAAGCAGGAGAATGGCTGGAGCAATAGAATGGCGTATTGTGGGAATTCAAGAGGTGACCAGGGAAGGTCACATGCTTAGTTTCCACTTAGGAGTGACGCTCTGGAAAGATTCAGCTGGCAGCTGCTGTGTGGATTAGCCTTAAAGGTCAGATGGGAGGGAGTCAGGGAGTTGTTTTGTGATGGGAAGGAGAACTGTCCCCTATGTTCTAACTTCATTAGTTCATCTTTGGGAGGTCTACAGGCTGCCCCTTGGTTCTCTGCCTAGAGTCTGCTGGCATTTGGAGAAATAAGGACTATGTGGTGTTTTGCTCCCCTGGAGACCCTGTAAAGAACTGCACCCACAATGACTACCATTAACTTATGCTACCGCTCTGAACATAGGGTCTCTACAGGAAGAAGGGTGCAATATAGAAAGGGAAAAAAATACAGAAATAAATATTTATGGTAATTTAAGGAGCAAAAATTAAAATCTGAAAACTGTGCCTGAATATAGGTAGAGCTGGCAGAAAGAACAAAAACTGAAGAAGTACTGCCAAAAACAAATGGATTCAGGACTGCCTGGAGGTTCTGGTCACAAAAATCAGTGCAGATCTTTTTGAGGGAAGAACAATTTATTAAGCAGAAACTTGGAATGTAAGCACAGAAGAGACCCAAAGAGTTTAGCCCATGATGCTTACCAGCCAGATTTTTTAGCCAGAGACTTGTCATGGCATTTCACAAATACCACAGATGCCTTTCCTTTCTGCAGATGGGACACTTTCTCCCTGGAACAGAAGATCACCCTGTGGAAGAAAGTGAAAGTGAACATGCCATATGGAACAATGAGTACACTGTTGAAAAATGTTTGGTCAGTCAGTGCTATTTAAAACCTACCTGACCATTCTGATTAACTGTTTCGAATTTAACAATACTTAACTGTTGACAGGACATCCTGGTTAGCAATAAATACATCTGCATCAGAGGTTTATTTGAGGGTATAACTCATAGTTCAGCAATAAATCTAGTTAATCAGTCTAGACAGGATACACGTAAACTGAATAGTTATAAAATCACATCCATAAAGCCTTGGCTTTTATAAAGAGATGACACAAGATCGACTTATCAGCTTTACCGCCATAGACTCTGCATTACGGACTCCAACTGACTCTTCAAGAGAATCAAATGCCCTGCAAAGCTTTTATATCATCCATGTTCTCCTTTTCTTTTTATTTTTTTGATATCAAAGAAAATTACCAAAAATAAATAATGGACTGATCATTAAGTTAAGGAGCCATTTTTATTAACAAATTGACATGATAATCTGCAATATCCCTGTACATTTATTTTGAAGTTTAAATCTTATATGTCTTTCTATGAAATTAATTTTATAGTTACATGTTGAGTTTGGGTTGGGGAGATAGGATGGCATTATCTGGGAAGGATCATCTCAAATCTAGAAGAGATTAGCTTAAATCGTTCAATGGCAAAATGGATCTCTGGTGCTATTTCCATAACTGCTTTGTAGTCACATAAAATAGTACTAAATTAGAAGCTGACATCTAATTTCAGCTATCAATAATTGACCAACTCAGGGCTTAATTAAATGCCTAAATACTATTATTTATTAAATGCCTAATACTATTAAATGCCTAAACACTATTACTTTTCTAATATGATAATGAAAGAAAATTCCCAAAATATTATAGTTGCAATTATCTATGTCATCTAAGTTTTAAAGACAAAAGATTAACATGAGGCATTCACCAGGATAGACCACATAACATGCTGGATCACAGAACAAGTGTCAATAAATTCATAAAGACTGAAATCATATCAGTTATCATCATGGTATCAAAGGACAAATAAACTTCCAAAATAAAGCAGAAAAGACCCTCCCTGGTAGCATAATGAATTAAAGTTCAGCACTGCTTTACGAAGCTAGCAGGATCCTCTTTAGCATGAGTTCAGTGCCTGGACAAGGACACCACATGGCATAGCAGATGTCTCCTGACCCGCCTGCCGATCCCCTCAGCAGTGTACTTCAACGATCTGCCTATTCTGCTCCCAGCTCTGTCTCTGGTGAATTCTCTCACCACCCCTGTACCTCTGGCCTGTACTTTTGTATGCCTAAATAAATAAATCTTAAAAAAAAAAAAAGCAGGAAAATTCCTTAGTACATAAATATTGACCACAAACACTACTGAATGACCATTAGGTAAGAAAGAAAAATCAAAGAAGAAAATTTAAAAAAATACCTGGAGATGAATGAAAATGGAAGACACAGCCAATCATAAGAAAGCAAGCAGTACTAAGAGAGACAATAAGGCAATGCAGGTGAACATCAGATAACAAGAAAGAGCCCTTTAATCAGCTTTAACTCTTTTACCCTGAAGGTATTAGAAAAAGAACAAACAAAAACAAAAGGTGGAAGAAGGAAGGAAATAACAATTAGGGCCAAAATAAGCAAATAGAAATAAAAAAGACATTCTAAAAAATCAATGCAACCAAACGTTGGTGTTTTGAAAAAAATAAACAGAATAGGTAAACCTTTAGCTAGACTCACTAAGACTAAAAAGGGAGAAAATTCTAACAAATAGAATGAGAAATGAAAGACAAGTTACAACAAACATTCCAGAAATTTACAGTATTATGAAATTAAAATAAACATCTATATGCTAGCAAATTGACAAGGTGGGCAGATTCTTAGAAATCTATAATCTGGAGCCCTCCCTGGTGGCACAATGGGTTAGGACACAGCACTTGCAAGCCAGCCACAGCTGCTTCAGTGAGAGTTCGATCCCCCACCCCAGAGGTGAGCAGCACCTGCTCACCTCCTGTCCTGCCAACTGCTGCCCTCAGCAGTGTACTTAGTCGACCTCCCTGTTCTGCTCCCCACTCTGTCTCTGGTGAAGCCTCTCATGACCCCTGCAGCTCTGGCTTATGCCCCAGTTCTGTGTGAATAAATAAGTTTTTTTTAAAAGAAATCTATACCCCTCAAATTGAATCAGGAAAAGACAGAAAGCTTGAACAAAAGAGACACAAGCAAGGAAATAGACACAGAGCCTCCCAAAACACAAAAGACCATGTCCAGATGGTTTCACTAGAGAATTCTACTACACTTTTTATTACACTGAGCTAATACTTTCTCAAACTCTTCCAAAATAGAAAGAGGGGATGCTTCCAAACACATTCTATCAAAAACTGACAAAAACATCACAAAAAAAGAAAATTATAGGCCATTTCTTTGATGAATACAGATGAGAAAATCCTCCACAAAATCATAACAAACCAAATTTAACAACATCTCAGAAGGATCAAATATTACAACCAAGTGTGATTTATTCTAGACACACAGGGATGGTTTTCCATATGAAAATAAATTAATGTAAATCACCACATCAACAAAAGGAGAGATTAAAAACCATGTGATTACATCAATAGATGCAGGGAAAGCATTTGATAAGATGGGCTTTTGTGCTTTGGTTGACTCTCATTATTGTTTCTATTTCCTTGCTTGTGATTTGTTTGTTTAGGTTCAACATCTGTTTGTGATTAAAAACATGAAAGTTCAAAAAACCAAAGATAGAGGGAACATACCTCAACATACTGAAGGCAATTGTGACAAACCCATAACCAACATCATACTCACTGGTGAGAAACAAAGTTTTCCCTTTAAGATTTGGTACAAGACAGGGGTGTTCACTTTAACCACTACTATACAACATAGTATTTGAAATCCCAGCTAGAGGATTGGCAACAAAAGACATAAAAAGGAACCCAGGTTGGGAAAGAAGTAAAGCACTCACTATTTAAAGATGATAGATACACAACCTTAAAGACTCCATTAAATAACACTTTCCCAGACTCCAAACTACACTACAAAGTTATAGTAATTTCCACAGTATGGTACTGGTACAAAAACAGATACATAGACCAATGAATAGAAAATTGAGAGTCCAGAAATAAACCACCCATCTATGCACAGTTAATCTATGACAAAGAGAAAATAATAACACAATCAAATATGAGCAGAAGAGCTAAATAGACATGTTTCCAAGGAAAATTTACAGATAGCCAACAGGCATATTTAAAAATGCTCTACATCACTTATTGTCATGGAAATGCAAATCAAAACTACAATAAAATACCATCTCTTGTGAGAAAGATCGGTATCAAAAATACCAGCAACAACAAATATTGGTAGGATGTGGAGCGAAAAGAACCCTCAATCATTGTTGGTGGGAATGTAGACTAGTCCAGCTGGTATGGATAAAGGTACGGTGGTTTCTCAAAATATTAAACACAGAACTACCATATGATTCAGCAATTTCAATCCTACACATCTATTCAAAGAATGCACAAACACTAATTGAAAGGACATAATTATTCCCTATGATTACTGCACTCCTATTTACAATAGTCAAGTTATTTAAACAATCTGAATACCCAAAGACAGAGGAGTGGATTAGAAGGTGTGATCACATGCCTTTGGACCTCATACAGTTTTGTAATTAGATGTCAGTGAAAGAAGAAAAGATAGACCTTACTAAAGGTCCCCTTAATGTTGAAGGCTCCCGAAATACTACTGGAGGTACCTTAAACCTTAAAATGAATGAAGAAAAATGCATTTAATTACTTTTTTTGAGTCTCTCCCGCTTTTACTCTGATCTTCTCAACAACAAAGCCAGGGCTGCTCCACCAGTCTGACCAGCTGAAATATGAATCGCTCTCCCATTTGAGTTTCAACATTAGCAGTTCGCCAATATCTATTTCTGTGTAAATTAGGAAAGAGTATGTCTTGTTTGTGGAAACTTCAGGCCTGAATTTAAAAAAAGAGTGTATTTGATTAGTTCTTGAAATTCATTTTTCCCCCTTTTTCTTCCTCCCACAATAGCATTATTCTTTGGGAATATTTAAAAAATGCAAAATAAAATTCCAACAAAATAATGAAGGTAAATACCAACAGAATCTAATATCTTTTATATCTATACCCTTTAATCTAGCCCAACTTGTATCAATATGAACTAATACAATTTTTAAAAGAAAAATATCCCTAGGAAATCACTCAGACATTTTCACTTGTATGCATTCTGTTTCAACTTGTATTGATACACAAAGATAGCTTGTTGTAATCATAAATATACACAATTCTCTATTCTATGTTTACACACTTCATTTTTAAAATAAATATGGAATCCTTCAGGAATCTATAGATGTCATACTTGTCCAGAAGCTGGGCTTATCTTCTCTATATTGCTCTAATTCTAGTAGATATGATGCTGAAGTGAGCACTATTCACTTAATACTTTTGCCTTCTACCTTTACCATATTTTGCCCAGTTTTCTATAGCTATATTTTTAGAGGCCAAATGATTTCAGGGAACCACAATTCAGTTACCCATTGTCTCATGCTGGATACTTATGTGCTTCTAATTTAGGCTATTATATGTACCAAATGCAATGGCCGTTGCTTATACAGAGCTTCTTAAAATTTTTCTACTGAATATTTATTTTCATAGATATCTCCTCCCTTCTGTGCTCCTCAGATCAAAAGTTAGGCAGGCAGCAATGCCCCAATGAACCCATACACTAGCAATAAGGTCCTGGTTACTCACAGGGTGAAGGGAATGTTCTCACTCTCAGCCACAGTGCCATACAGAGAGATTGTGAAGGCCTGGTTTGTCTGTGTATCACTGTCAGTCCCAGAAAAATGTATCTTCACTTGGTAGTGGAAGACTGTAGGGGTGAAAGTAGAATAAATGCTGATAAATCTCTATAGAAACAACAAAGCTCTCAAGCCAGCTGGCAATTCAAAACACAGACACTTGCTCACTAATGACCCAACACAGAGTGCTTACAAGTATCGATATGGCCTGGAAATACTCATGTCTGTACAGGGTTTGTGATGAGAAAATTCAGACCTTGAATGCTACCTCTTTCAGAAATATATGGTTTTCTTGTGGATAGGAAAAATCCAAATGCAACAGAACTAGTAGTCCTAGAAAGTCGTCTTTGACGGAGTACTTGGGAGACCAAAGCAAGAGACCAGAACACACATGACGCCTTCTTCATGGTCTCTACCCTTCCTGTGCCTTAGCACCTGCAGCAAGCCTATCTGGCACTCGCTACCATGAGTGTGCCTGACCACCTACTCATGGCCTTCAAATCAGAGGGTCATGTTCATTCCCTAGGTAGTCCCCCACTGTCTAGCACAGAGTCGGTATACAGTAGACTCACAATAAAATTTAGGTCACTGACTGACCAGTGAGGATGTAAGGACTGCCTTGGCAAGTCAGTTTCTGAAGTGTCTTGTATTAAGGAGAGCCTCTGGAAGTGGGTATCTGAGCCATCCCAACCAAAAATTCAGAGTAGGTGAGATGGGAGAAAGGTTACAGTAGAAAAAAGGCAGCAAGCTTTTCAGCAAGACACAGCTAATAAAAGAAGCAGAGTCTGGGGTGAAACTGAACCCTTCAGGAAGCACCACAAACAAAAGCAGGATTAGTTGAGACTGCAGAATGTCCCCGAGCACACTGGTAGAGCACTGAGTGGCCTTGCGAGGGAGCCTGGGAATGAGTGAGCCCTGCCTGAGTCTTCAGAAGACTACAGCCTCCTCTGTACAGCGCTCGCATTTCCTGGTTCTAAAGAACCAGGGCAACAAAGGGTCCCTCCATTGTCTAAAATACTTCCTTGAATTATAGGTGATCCAAATCTCTGGACCATCGAATGCACCTCTGGACACTAACATTACCTCGATCAGATATAATTTGCCTTTGCAAATTGTTCTTTCATACCATCCCTTCCCTGCGAATTCCACCTGCAGTCTAAATGAACCAGCCTTTCTGATATTAGTCCTCCTTGCCAGATTTATCTGAATATCTCTTCTCAACTCCTTGATTATTTTAGGTCTTGTTCTAAACAGATACCAAATTTGAAATTCAACTGTGGACAAATATATGGAAAAAAATGACAGTATGTAAAGTGTTTGTTATCTTTCCCCCTCCCAGAAATAGTTGCATTTTAAAACAGAAATGATTCCTGCCTTCACTTAAAAGTTTACAAGTAGGCACACTTTTTCTGTCATGGACAGGAAAGTAAATATGTTAGCCTTTGTGGATCATACAGTTTCTGTCCCCGATACTGAACTCTGCTGTGATGGCATGAAAGCAGACTTAGACAATGCAGAAATGATTGCACGTGGCTCCATTCTAAGAAAACTATTTATGAAAGCAGGTTGTGGGGACGCACGTGGCTGATGGATCCTAGTTTGTTGACCCTGGTTGATGGCTTCAGATTTACTCTGAGCATGGTGCTGATGGTCTGGATCATGTGACAGGTCAAAATACAGAAAAGGTGGGTAAGCTGGACCCTTGCAGAGAACAGTGTGAGCTGTGCACTAAGCCCTGCTGACAGTAAGAATTAGGAACTTCAGTAAGCTGGATAAGTGCAATTCCCTTTCCACCCACAGGTAAGGGCTTGGTGTTTAGCAACATTCATTATCTCTGTTGCAAGAGACAGAATTATTAGATGTGATACAAAAAAAGGACAAACTGATTTTCCTCATTTATAATAGTCTCCACTTACCTTTGTAGGGCATCTGAGAACGAGTCTTAAGGTACATTTTGCTGCTTCTTTTGGCTCTGACTTTATTGATCTCATAGCCCAAGTTGTTGCAACGGTTTTTTCTGCAGCTCAGACACAGCCCTTTCTCAAAGGCTTCCTTGGAATTGCACCGGTAGGCCTTACTGGGATTCTCTTCATTCAACAGAGAGTCAATAAAGAGGTGAATGGAGCGTTCGTGTGAGCATTTCACAAGCTGGTCCACATCTGAGGAATCAGAGACACAAGAGCATCCCACCTTATGTAAGTCTCCGATGAGTATTTGTCTTAGTGTAAGTATGGTATCAGCATAAAATGACCTCAGGATCTAGCCATATTAGTCCTTGAATATAGATCCTATGTAAAGGCTCACCTACATTTAAGTGTCAAACTGCAAATTTAGAGTGAAGTTTTGACTTTTCTTCAGTATTTAGTATGTAAATATGTTTATGAAGCTGTAACAAAAGGCATTCAAATGACTTGTAAAAGTTTCGTTCTTTCCATTTATTGCATCCTTCTCTTGTATTGAAAGTATCTAATACTTCTAGATACTTCTAGAAACAAACTGCTATAAACCACATTGTAAAAGGCATAATTGTTAAAGGAACAGTATTTTAGCACAGTTACTATATCTAATTGAGGGTTGTGATGATTACATTAAATGAATCAGAGGTAATCAGTAATATAAGAATGCATCTATATCAATAAGCTTTTATAACAAGTGAAAATGGTAACCTGACTCTCTAAGCTTTGTGACATGTTCACGAAAAGCCTGGCTATACTGACTACAGGTAGGTCCTACTCTCTACAAAGAATGCAGAGATCCCTTACAGTAGATCATACATTTACCACAAACTAGCATTATCATTAAAGATTAAGTTAATATTAAATCGGATTTCCTTAAAATTTTAGAGGTTTTATTATTGGAGAATGGTGATTTGTTTCTGATTTGCACGATGAAAGAAATGTGGACTAATGAACACCTCCTTTGCTTTGCTTCAAAGTCATTCTCCTGGTTTTGCATCTATAAAGTAAAATGTGTGATCAAATAATTTATGCTGCTATTACCAAGCGTAGTAGAGTTTTGTTTAAATTTCACCTTTCCTTTTTATTTCATTACTACAAGTAGTTAATTTACCCTACAATATAGTACATAAAAGATAAAATATCTGTCTGACCCCAGGAAAGGACCAGATTCTTAGGTGATCAGGTTGAATATTACAGACTCCTTCAGAAACACATCTTGGCTAATATGTATATTTAAACTGCATTCTTGTGGAGAACGGGTAGGACACTGGATTCATAAGAATTAACAAGATTTTCGAAAGCGTATATACCTCCAAGACCTCTCTCTGCAATCACACGAATAGCTTCGCCAATGTTACATCCTGGCTGGAAAGTCCCTCCATTAGGATAAATGTCAACATGCCCTACTGGCTTCTGGATCCCAATGCTCCTTCCAGGTGATCCTCGAGTGAACGTGTGTAAGACATCTACAAAGTCTGCGTCATCAGGAGAAAGGCGACTTGGTGCCTCCGCATACTCAAAGTTAGGGCCAGCTGGATCCAAGCCTTAATGAAACAAAGGACAAAAGATCTCAAGATTTTTCAATTTCCATTAGTTTTATTCTCCACAAGTATCACTTAGCAAACAATTGCTCACTATTTGAATGTAACTGGTAGCCTCAGAGGTTCTTATTAGTTCCTAGTCTATAACAATTGAACCTTATATTACTAAGTGCCACAAAAGTAGGTTTATCAATCATTCTAAAATGAAATTTTAGCCTGCTAAACTAGCCATTTATAGCAAACTTTCACTCAAGATGACTTGATTTTGCATTGCAAATTATTTCTGAACCTGGTAAGCAGAATTTTAAAGAGTGGGCGATTCTTTCTTTTCTTCTCCTCTTAGTAGATGCTGAACTATCTATTAACACTGCCAAGATGACTCTGGCTTTTTCCTAATGGTCTCTGTAGTGGTCCTTCTTCATGTTTCCAGGCACTGATGTAAGAAGCATTGTATGTGTTACTCTAACACAGCACAAAACAGACGTATGGGAGGAACAGGTTTCTCAGAGATACCGGGGGCTCTGTTTTACTGCTGGTAGCTAGTAAGCTCATGGGAGCAAAAGCCTTATCTTTATCTTATTCTAGAAAGAGTCCTTCCATAGGTAATCAAGTGACTGGACATACCCAAAGATGCACACCAATGTAGGTTTTGACAGTCTGATTCTCCTTCAGAGTGATGAACATCTCCATTCTTTTGTGTTAAGAATTGAGATGAGAAGTGACCATTTGCTTACCTGTAATTCTGTTAACCTTCTTTTTGGTCAAACTTCCTGCAATGCCAGCAGCATGGGCTCCAAGACTGTATCCTAAGAGATGGACGTTATCCAGAGGATAGTTAAATTCCTCCTTTGGAAGAGAGAAAGAAAAATGTTTCTTTATAGTTCTTTGCAAAAGATTAATACTAAAGGAAAGAAAATATTTGTAAATATTGTTTTCAAATAATAGGAAATACTAAAAATTCTACTTATTTTAATTTTAGTTAACAAGAGGAATTGAAGTATTCTCTTTCTGTTATAACTTTATTTATGCATAGAAAAACTGGAGGTGTGGGGGAGTGAGAGGATTCACCAGAGACAAAGTGGGGGGCAGAACAGGTGGATCTACTGAAATACACTGCTGAGAGGCACAAGGGGTGAGACAGGAGAGGTCTGCTGCACCATGTGGGTCAGCTCCCTGGCCTGGGATGGAACTCATGCTGCTGTGGCTGGATATAGCTTGGTAGTACTGAAACTTTAATCCCTATACCACCAGAGAGGCCCCTATAACATTTTTAAATTAAAATTTTTTCCATGTCTGAAATTATATCATATGTATGTATCATGTATACATTTATATGCACGTATTATATATCTCTATATAGATATATGTATACATCTCTACTGAGATACATTGATATATATGCATATATACATATTCATACATATATAACAAAGTATATATAAATATATATCTCTACATAATACAATTTCAGATGTGTAGAAAAGCTTTTTTTTCTTTAAAAAATATTTATTTCTTTATGCATACAGAACTGGGTATAGGACAGAGGTGTAGGGTCAGTGAGTGGATCCACCAGAGACAGAATGGGGAGCAGAACAGGCAGACTGACAAAGAACAATGCTGAGGGGAGCAGCGGGCGAGACAGGAGAGGTCTGCTGTGCCATGTGGGTCACCTTCTGGGCTGGGGATCAAACTGGCGCTGAAGCAGCTGTGGCTGGCTTGCAGTGCTGTGCTTTAATCCACTGCACCACCAGGGAGGGCCAGAAAAGCTTTCCAATTCAAATATGTTGTTAAAGAAAAAATATCAACACTAGACTATATATTTATATACACCAATTTATGTACAGCATACACAGAGATACACACATATACAAAAGCAAACATATTTGACTTTAAACCATTATCCCATATTCTAAATTCACTGTGTCACTATATTCTTTGAGTTCATCCAAGTAACCATAGTAATCAGGAAATATTACAGTGGGTAGAAACCACAGGCCCAACCTTCTGATTCAAGAGATGAGAAGCTTGAGATACAGGAAGGAAGTATGAGTTCACTCTCTTGGCCAGCAAGAGTCAGAACATTTATCCTTTATTAGTCCAATGAGCATAGCTTATTCTTTTCCTCCAAGGATCTGATTTAAATTATTTGGCCTTGCCAGAATACTGGCTTCCTTTCGAGTCTAGAGGCCTTTCCAAGGTAGTTTCTGGAGGATGACAAGTCAGAACACCAAAGTCAGAAGACCTGACCTTCAGCAAACTCATCTCTTATGGACCTTCCTTGTCATCTTTTACGCAGCTCAACTCCATTACTCTCTTAACCCTCAACAAAAATCTGGATCCTTAAAACACACTAAGGAATAAGTACTATTAATATTTTTTGTCAAAAGGATTGGTGTTCTAACAAGGGTCAAAGCCAACATAAAACTTTCTTGAGCTAATCAACTGGTTGGGAAATACTGGGCTGTCCGTGACATCTCCCCTCTGTCCTGAAGTAACAAGCTTCTGTTTGTTCTGCCTATTGGAAACTTGTTGTCAGCAGATCTATTTACTTTGAAAATATAAAAAGACAGAAAAGGCAGACTTTATAATTTTATCATTCTTATCATAATGTGCTTTCATCTAAAAAATAATGACTATGCTCATTCTGAAGGTTTGAATTGCTCTAGAAAATATCGTTATCTCAGTGAAAAGAAACAAAGACCAGCCATTTGCTCAACTCTACATAAAAGATCTGTTTTGGATACTGACGACACCTTCCCCACTCTTACCTCCATCCAGTTGATAAACCTCGCCACGTCTTTTCCCACCAGCTTGGTGTACCCCGCGGACACTGGGTAGTGCTGCTGAGCCCGGGACAGCCAGTCCACCACAATGACGTTGGAGTCTGGTTCTCGCTTGTACAGGGCAGCCACGAGTTTTGGCACCCAACTCTCATACATTCCTGTTACCTGAAAGAGATGGCAGACACTTTCCTGCAATACCAGCCTACAAACTTGTTATAGGTGTCAACCCAGTACACCTACATTAAATTCAAAAAGTCCATAAGGAAGGCTATTAATTGACATAAAAATCGAACACCAAATGATTCTGCATAGATTTGTGTGTGCTCCTTCTGAAGCCAATTTGGGGATGCAAAAGATATGTTGAATTCAGAAATGGCACACTGGAGCTTACCATACTTGTAATTTTATCTTTTTAAATTATTTTTCAAAAATCTATGATTCAGAAGAAATAATGATTGTCAAAATGTTCTGTATTCGTAATATTCAAAGGAGCATAATTTTATATTATACTCAGTATCCTCCTTTAAATACTTCTGTTAATTGTTAAGAACTGAAATTGGCAATCATATATATTTTTGAAAATATATACTTCTATAGTTGATGTTGCATTCCAAAAGAATACATTCTGTAAAAATGACCAAAATCAGTAACTATTAGAAAATAGTTAAAACACATAATTGAATGTGATCTTTTAATATGAACTCTAGCATGTTGTTTTTTTTATTTTTGCCCAAAAATATTTCAGATTACTATGATTGATCATACTTTTATACCTCCTTAGCTGATTTAATCCTGGTGTTGATTTAATCCTGGTGCCACCTACGGTTTGCTGTAGCATTTGTGTGTCTTTTTTAAGATTTATTTATTTATGCTTACAGAAATGGGGTACAGCCCAGAGGTGCACTAGACAGGGCTGGGAGCAGAACAGGCAGACTGATGAAGTACACTGCTGAGGGGAGTGGAGTGGGGGTGGGGGGCGGGCCAGGAGAGGTCTGCTGTGCCAAGTGGGTCAACTGGCGCTGAGGCGGCTGCAGCCAGCTAGCAGTGCTTCGTCCTTACCTGTTGAGCCACCAGGGAGGGCCCTGCTGTAACATTTGAATAGTTTTGCCCAACACTTTGTTTTACTTGATAACTATTCTTATATTGGTGGACAGGAGCAGAAATTTTAGAGTAGTTTCAAGTGGAATGAAGCTGATTCAAAGTAATTTCTGGAAATTTTATAACAGTAATTTTTAGTTTATCTGGATATAGTTTATAATCTTAGTAAAACCTCAGTAAATTTGGGCTCTCCCTGGTGGCGCAGGGGGTTAAAGTACAGCACTAGGAGGCTGGAGCCACTTCAGCATGAGTTCCATCCCCGACCACCGGGAGGTGATCCACTTGGTGGGGCAGACCTCTCCTGACCTGTCCATTGCTCCCCTCAGCAGTGTACTTCCTCAATTGGCCTGTTCTGCTCCCCACTCTATCTCTGGTGAAGCCTCTCACCCCCCACGCCTCTGGCCTGTACCCCAGTTCTGTAAGCATAAATAAATAAATCTTTTAAAAAAATTCAGTAAACTTATAATATCAAACGGAAAGAACACTCTTAATAGGATAAAGTTTTGACCAGAATAACAAACTATTTGAAAAGAAATTTAATTACTTTCAATTAGACTTATGAATTTCCCAACAGAATTATATGAGGGCATGTCAAAGTTACATATAGCATTTGATGTGCTAATAGTAAAAAAATATTTTAAGCATATTATGAGAAAGTAAGTTTGCTTAGTAATCTCTCAATATATATAAGAAATGATCAGCTTTAGCTTAGAATTTTTTCATAATGCTCTCAAATTCTAATTTTCAGAATGAAAGTGAATGAGCTTTAATAGTTGCATTTCCCAAATTGGTGTTGTTTGAAGTTACACATGATGCCAGCTATATTGTTCTTGGGTTCTTGTCACTAAAGGCTCCCAAATTTAAATCCAAAAGGGCTATGAGGTTGTCAAGTCAACTGTTTGTATTGAGGTTTGATTTATAATTTCAGAGAAGAGGCTTTGCACATTTTCACAAAGATACATACTCTAAAATAAATTAAACACATTAAAAATTGCAGATTATAAAATCCAATAGCATCTAGCCAGAAGATTGCATTTGGCAACAATCAATTCTAAATTCTCAAATCCACCCGCCCCTAAAAGATCCCCAGAGCAGATCATATTATAGTCAATCAAGGTTACTTAACTGTGTACTCAGTGGATACAAAGCTCCTGAAACCGACATTTAGATGGCTTTGGGGGAGATATGCAAAGTCTGTATTCTAAGCCTAATTCAATCAAAAATTGTTGAATTCCCAAACTTTCATCTTAAGTGGAAGTTCTTTCAGATTTATGTTTCCATCTTTATCTATTTTCTAGATTAAAACTATTAAAACATGAGCTCTCACTTTACTCCTGACACTAAGAAACTCTTCAGGATGTTGCTGTGTTCCATGGTGGGGAAAAAGCAAGATTGTGACTTATGAGTTGTTTCTTCTAGTCCCAGCTTTGCACTAACTGCTTCTAAGAACATGGGCACTGCTTTAACCTTACTACGTCACCTACTAACGAAAGATCCAGATGATCTTGAAGTTACTCTTCACCTTGTAAATTACTTCTTGTGACCGTTCTGGCTCCCAACCTGCTTGCAGTGATAAAATGTCAGCTCTAAAACTATTTCAAACACGGAAAGAAAACAAAGAGAAGGTACAAAGGTGAACTAGCTCATTAGGAACTTGTTTAATATCTTTGCGCATGTCTCAGAGAGGCGGCTTCAAGTCTGCGTGCATCTTGGGTCTTTGAAGGAACCAGTTGTAACACCCACCTAGCGTTTAGTCCTGTGCCCTGTGTCCTCTCTTTGAAGTTGGGGACTGGCCACTTTCACAGATGCCTTGCAAGGGAGGATGATATAATTTCTTCAGAATGCAAAAATAATCACTCCCCTTTTCTGCAAGACACTGGCCCATGAAACCCAAGCGGATGGTCCAGCCCTTAGACAGCGGTCTCTAAACTGCTTGCTGAGAATGCTCACGACATGGCAAGCATTCTTCTGTCTTACTCATGTCCAAGTTGCAAAGTCTCTTCACTTTCTTTTATCTTATGCCCTTGAGTCACTGAGCAGCTTACCTTAGATAAGGCAGGAAAACGCTGTTTGTTCTAAACCTCTACTATAAGTTTTTTTTCTGTACTATCGATGTTTCCAGTTAGGCAATCTGTCAAAGGGCAAAGAACCCAACTTACTCCCCTAGGCACTGATACTTCTATTAGCTTTTTTTTTTTCCCTCAATTCAACCCAAAATACTGCTGTGCTTAACCATGATGGAAAACAAAACAATTCACCTGCTATTATTTTCCGAGTTTGTCTTTGGAGGTTTCTGAAATCAGTACCAACTTTTAAAACTTTTGGTGCTCAGACCTCAGCTGAACTGAAGTCTGCCTCATGCCCTACGCCAGGTGGTTCAGCTGAGCCAGCAAAGGGGCACATGCCAGAGATGTGGGCGGCACCCCAGCCGCCTGCTGCAGCAGCCTGGTGAAGCTGCTGGGAGACAGTGTGGGCACCCAAGTGGGCGTTGGAAACCCGCACTATCAACAGATACTAGATTATCTCAGTTTGAGAGAAAAACCACGTTTTTTAAAATTTCCTATCTTTCTCAAAGATAGTAAGATGGCAATGCCAAAGAGAATCAATGTATCCCCGTCACATACATGCTTATTAGATTTAAACTTTTTAAAAATGTTTAACTATACACTTAAATATACAAGTTTTATATACAATTAAAATAATTTCAAAGCCAACAGATTACTTTTTCCCATTAAATCTCTCAAGCTACAAAAAGATTTTGTTAAAAATGCAAATATGTAATTTTTTACAAGATGCAAGATAGTAAATTTACTTTTAACTCTAGATGTATTTTATGAAACATCTGTGAATTGTTAATAGTTACATCATCTCCATAAAAAAAAGCTATATGAATTGTCTAATACTATAAATAACAAAGCCACTAAATCATGTAGGAAAAGGAATTAGGATCTCTAACCATCCATTATATTTAAGTCCTTTTTTAATGAAAATGGAATCTGGTCATTTGGGATTAAAAATTAAAGAAGCCAAAAAAGTAAAATAGTCAAGCAAGAGTTGTAACATGTAAAGCTACCACCTGGCATATTTGGAGCAAATTACTTCATACACTTTAAATACAACTCTGACCATAGATTTCACTTTTCTAGTTATCGTGCATGGCCATACCCTGGGTAGCAGCCCTTTTTTATTTCTGGAGAAACTCAGTAAAAGCTTACAGCTAGAAAATGTGGGAGGGGCATTTAGTTCTTTGCTTCACAGATCAGTAAGCTGAGGCTCAGAGGCCGTCACTTGATCCACATCAGAGATGGACAATGACAGAGCCAGAACCAGTCTCCTCCCTCTCCGAAGTCCCGCCCTCACTCTCACAGGCCTTCTTCCTTAGGAAGGGTTCTTTGGCAGCCTGCTAGGTGAATGAAGCTCCTGCCAGGGTTTCATAGGCTCCCTGCAGCATTAACCTATATAATCCTCTGTAGTTGATCAGGGCCTTGTTTTCCCACCTCCCAGGAATAGCTGACCCAAGGGCACCAGCTCCGCGCCTGGTGGAAGGAAAGCTGGCACTGTCTCGGGGCTACTCATGAACCTGTTACATGAACGTTCCACAATCTCACCCAGAGCCATCGTTGCCTTTAGTCAAGCTTAAAGCAAAGCCATAAGAAAGCAGGGAATGGGACAGGACGGAAGCCCCATCACGGGGTTCCGACTATCTGTTTCTTCCCAAAGAGTCTCTCTTACTGTCCAGCCATGGATCACCACAAAGGTTTTGCTGCTGTGGTTGAAGTGGCAGTTAGCCACGGATTCTGTCACTCCAGGAATAAGGTGGCAAGTGTCCTCAGCTGATTCTTCAGGGGTCCTGAGAGCAAATTTACTTTCAATGTCCACAAAATCTCTTCCTCCTGTAATTCCGAAAAGGAAAGAAAATTGGGCAGAAGGTTAACTGGGGAGTGCTTTGCTTAATTTGCTGGAATGATGCACATTAGGCTCAGAAGCAACACCACCAAAGCCACTTTTTTTTTTCTCTCTTGCTTTTTTTTTTTTTTTTTTTTAAGCGAACATGATCCAGAGAATGACTGATCCTCCTCCATTGGTGATCAATGTTGACAGAAATGACCTTTAAGTAACCATGAGTGCAGAAATATTGACCATTGCTGTGTTTTCTATTTGCTCTTTCAGTGTGCATGTGTGTGTTTCACGTACACAATTTCAAGTAAGTGCACTGCTGTTTGGGAATTCCTTAGCTAATTCCGTCTTCTCTCAAGATATGAATTTAAGTGTTGACAAAAGTAATGCTGCTAATAGTGAGAGAGAAAGGCCCAAAGCCCTTTCCTCCTGTTCCCAGTTCAAGACACACTCTCCTAGAAAACAGTGGCTCATGGCCAATAACACCACTTAGTTCACATGCTTTAAATTTCTGATTACTTCAAAGGAATGTTTCCCCACAATACTGTAGACCAAGACTTGTTTCAGGGAAGGTTCTTTCCTTTGCACTAGCGTAAATTGTAGCTATATTAGCAGTGAGAAAAATTGGAAGCATGAGAAAGCTTTCCTATGGAATTGTTCCCATCCCCACAGCAAAATATACCAGTTCAAAATGTTTTAAAAAATTACTTAGTGTACTGTTTAGAAATACTGTTGTTATGTATAAGCCATGCTGATTTCCCCCCCTCAAATATTTCCCATTATATGTCTTTACAATCTTCCATACAAAGTCAAAACTCAAATACTACTGCAAAACTGGTTTCAAAAAGAATTCGCTTTGACTCCTCGTAGTTTATCGCGACATGAGTGAGGAAGAAAAAAATTTCAACCTTTCTTTTGACTCTCTACATAATAAATCTAATTCTTGATAAATGTTTACAGGGTATCTGTAGACATACAGGCCATGTATTATCATGGTGGATACTTAGATTAAATGTATTGCAAATGAAATGAGACTCTTAAGAAACAAAACAAGAACAGAAGGAAGCTATATTCAGAAACACTGTTTAATTTCTTGTAATCTAAAAGGAAGTCAAATAAACCTATCCATTCACTATAAGAAGATAACTTGTAGATTTTAGATGTCTCTTTTCAAAATTGTAAAGAGACAAATAACCCAAGTAACTCAGAAATACTTCTAATTCTTTGATCTAAACATCTCTCACAAAACATAATTTGAAACTTTGTAACTTCAAAGTCATAACATCGTAAATATTCTTAACATCTCTTCAGTCTATCCTTCTCTGTGGTGTGTTGTTAGCAGTTTGCACACCACTGGAGTTTGCGACCCAAGGATTTCTGCGCAGCCTAAAGATGAAGGTGTCATTCAAACCTCTATCAGTGCAGACCAAGCTAACTTAGGTCATAGACAGACAGGGAAAAAGTCAGACCCTAACTCTTTAGTCTGTAGGATTACATGTGTCAGCATATGTTGCGGTTGCTCCTGGCTGGCCAATGAACTGACCTGACTTGTTAAGAAATTACTGCTTTCTAGGCATGTCAATATTAGTGACTCTGTACTTTTCCTTCAGAGGGAATAGGGCCTTTTTACAAGGTCCCTCTAGAAGCTAAAGCCACATTAGAATATCAAGAAAAAAAAAAAAAAAGATAGCTAGGTATATTCCTGCCACGTAAAGATTGTGGTGGCTCCAAGAACCAGCAGCCTGTGGGCAGTGCCTCTAAACTCACACTCTTCCTGGAAAGAAATTGAGGAAGAATAAGAGTTGTCAGAGCTCAGAGTAGGTGCTGATTATAGATGAATTCAAGCAGGAATAAAAACAAGGTGAAAGTTGCTGTGTGGGAGGTGATATAATATGAGGGAGAATGGTACAATGAGGTGAAGGATGGGAAGGATTAATTTCAAGTCTGCTTTAAACTTAATCCTCTCTTATAATGGACCAGGCAAGAAAATAATAATGATGATGAACAACTATATACCAGAGACACTTTATGGGGGTGGAGTGGGAGATGGGATCAAAAATGATGGGGGGAGGGAAATGCACTGGACTGTGGTGATGGCACATGGGTGATTTGGTGATGGGAAGCCCACGGGGATTACAACTGAGATGGAAAAAGACACAAAATTATGTAAAAATAAACTATTATATTTTTTAAAGAAAAAAAAAAGAGCTAGCCTGAAAAAAAAAATTACTCTTATTACACTGACAGTAAGAAAAAACTTTTGTTGGTTAAAATTCAGTTTACTTCACTGCTCACCTATGTGTTCATTTTAATGAAAGAGTAAGAATTCCAGGGCTTAGAAGAACTTAAAGTTTGGTGAAAACTCTCGATTTTAAGAGTTGAGGAATCTAATCAGAGAGAGGCGGCACTGAGCAGTCCAAGAATTCGCAGTCAGGAACTTCCACGGGAGGTGGCAAAAATGTGAACAGGACAACATAGATTTGCGTGTTTTATGCGAAAAGTAACATTACACTATGGCATACATTTTGAAATAATAATTTAAATTTTGTTTCAACCATCTTTTGGGACAGTTGCAAAACACCATCGAAGGAAACTTGCCACTCCTTGAGTTTAGGACGGAAACACTGGTATTCTCAAACTGATCTACCAAAAAAAAAAACTTGTCTTTTTTATCTAATTCCGCTATGAAGGAACCAGCATTTTTTTAACCTCACCAAAAAAAAAAAAAAAGAAGAAAAAAAATGACCTTTTATCATTAAGTGACAAAATAGGCCTTCTTGCCCCCCACTCCCAACTTCAGGCAGCAAGGGCACAGACAAGCCCAGCCACTGCACCCCGTGCTTGCCTGGGGCGCACGCAGGTTGCCCTGGCCCTATCTGCAATCCCACCTAGAGAAAGGAAAGCAATGCTGCTCGGATTTCCCACTTGTTTAGTTGGTTATTTAGTTGCTATAGTTGAACCAAGGTACAAGTTACGGAAGCATGTCTCAGGCTGAGCGCTCACCTTCCCTGCAAATAAATTCTCCTGTCCGCCGGCCCCGAAGGCCCCAACCCCGCGAGCAACCTGCGCCAGGGGCGCAGCCCCGGTCTCCACGCCCCCTGCCGACGCCCTCCGCGCCCCAGTTCCGCAGCCACAGTCGCGGCGACTCCTGGCCCGGTCGAGGGGCAGGGCTCCTGGAGTCTGTCCCCCGAGGGCCGGGAAGGGTAACGAAGAGCAAATCAGCGCACCCCTCCCCCCCAACACACACACCGATTCCCCTAAGACGACTGATCTCTGAGTCGCGTTTTCCGGAAAGCCAACCTTTTGCTTGGTTTTCGGGACACTAGGGAACGAAAGGCTGGCGCGAAAAAGTGCAAGTAGGAGGGCTTCCCTGTCGCGGAACCCCAGCAGAACCCGGCGCCCCCACCACTCCGCGCCACGCAGCCCCGGCCGCGGACGTGGGGGCGCCCACGCGTGTAAAGGGCTTCCCACCGCCCGGGTCGACTTCCCCACGCGCGGCCGCATCCTGCCCGCACTCTCCCGGGGGGCTGGGCCGAGGCCGCGGCCGAGGCGGGTCACAATGGCCCACGTGCCTTACATTTCAGAACCCCTGCAGCGGGAAGGTTACTCCCGCGTCCCGCCTTCTGCCCCTCTGCCGCCCCGCACATCCCTTCCCGCCCGGCCCCTTCCAGGCGGAGAGCTGGGGCTCGCCCGCCGTGCGGCGGCGGCGCGGGGACCGGCGAGCGCGCGGCTCCGCCCGGGAGCGTCCTCTGCGCATCCGCGGCCCCTCGCGCCTTCCTCCCCATTCTCCCAACGCGGGGACGTGGCTCCAGAGCCGGGTCTGCAGGTGGAGGGCGGTTTGCATCCAAAACTTACGGTCGGCGGCAGCCACCCCTCCGTGGGGGGCGGTGAGACTCTGGAACCACACACACAGAACGGCCAGGAGCAGCGCTTTGCTCTCCATCCCGGGCGCGTCCCTCTGTAGGAGTTACCCGGACCGGGGGCTGCGCGAGCCTGCGGCGGGAGCTGGCGGAGAGCGAGGGGGAAGTGGCCCGGAGAAGACGCGCGCTGGGAGATCTGAGGGGCAGGTTTCCTCTGGGGGAAAGGAGGAATCGAATGGAGTCTGACAGTTTCCACGCCACCGCTGCATTTGTGACTGGAAATATGCAAATAAACCTCATCACCTATTGGCTATAAAATCACAAGTTGGGGGGAGGGCCCTAAATTCACTTCCAAATGTTTGAGCAAACAGCTATGAGGCTCAGCCCTGCCAAAGAGAAGAGGGGGAAAGGGCAGGAGGGAAATTTTCCTTTCACTGTGAGGCTCCTATTTGCTTTCCGGAGGACTCTGGTTCTCAGGGCCTCCCTGTGCCAGCCCAAATACGGGCTAGATGGATTTATGGTAACTGCTCTGCAATCACTAGCTTTCCAAGGAGGGAAAGTTAAACTGTTAAACTACATTTAGTCAGTGCCCATTCCTCTTGTGATGGGTCTTGCTTCAGTGCCCACCTTGCTCCTTCACCCCCTGGCCTCCCTGCCCCCCCATGAAAAATTCCCCTGGAAAATGTCAATTTAAAAATTCACAGGCACGCTTTGTTCTGGAGTTTGTCCTTGTGCAACGTGGTGTTTTAACATTGGCAAAATGTAGTGGAGAAAAGCCTTCGTGCTCTGAGTAATTTCTGATTTTTGCCTCAAGTACTTTATAGCCAATACTCAAACTAAACATAACTTTGCATCCTCAGAGGCAGAATATAGAAGTCACACAATCTAAAACTGTATTATTATGCTAAGTGAAAGTCACAAAGACACATCACTGTGTGATCCTGTTTTATATAAATTATCCACAAATAGTCAAATCTATAGAGACAGAAAGTAGATTCATGGTTGCCTGGAACTGGGAAATAGAGGAAGGAGAGCAGGGAGAAGTGTTTGGGGGCTTGTGATGTCGGTGATCTGAAATTACATTATTGTGATGGTTGTACAGTAGATACATATGCTAAATAACATTTGCTTGTACACTCTAAATGGGTATGTGAAATATTTTTAAATGCATTGAGGTATCCAAATATAATAAATAATAAGAATAAAATTATGTTAGATATTTGTGGGGCTTTTCCAAAATTCTCATAATACTTTCAAATATCTTTTAAACATTAATATTTTGCATAAAAATATGTCCAGGAAGGACAATACTCACTATCTATATCTGAGAAACAGATAAGTCAAAACCTCCAATTCATTGTCTACTTTGGATTATTTCTCTTAATATCTTTAATGCCCTCTTCTATTCACATCTCTCTCTCTCTCCACACACACACACACACACACAATCTACATTTGTAGCTTGAAGGATGAAAAGCCATACAATTTAAATTAGGTTCATTTTAAGTTTTTCTCAAAATTAAGATACCTAAAGAAAAATAACGGATGGTTTCATTCATAGCAGGAGCATAAAGGACCGGGGTTGGGGGTGGGTAATAATAATAATGAACAACTGTATACCAGAGACATTTTACAGGGGTGGAATGAGGGGTGGGATCAAAAATGGCAGGGGGATGAAGGGGATTACCCAGACTATGGTGATGGCACACTGGTGATTCGGTGATGGGAAGCCCACATGGACTACAACTGAGATGGAAAAGGCACAAAATGATGTAAAAATAAAGTATAATAATAATAATAATGATAATAATAAATAAAAGACACCTGCTAATACCCAAACAATTCAAAGTTTGTTACTTTATAGATAGATAGAATTCTATATTTAAATTTATGCATTAAAGTCTACAGTCACATTATATCATCTTTATTGCAATTATCAAACAATTATACACCATTCTATCCTAGAAAGCACATAGAGGAATTTTGAAACCTGCCCAAAATTAAACGACTCTGAACTTTAGATGTGACAGAATAGACGATGTAGGGGGTGAAAGGCTGTGATTTGGCAGTCCTTCAGAGATCCTGTAGTAAATTCTAAATTTAAAAGATTACACAAGAGAAGTACAATCTGGATGTGCCCAAGGTGTAACTGACAAATTAACAAAATAGTGCAAAAATCCCTACTATCTTACACAGAAAAATTCTTATATACAATAGTTGGAGCTTACATTCACAGACAAGTGACATTTGCTGAGACAACTAAGCCAACCCGCACTCTGTGTCTCCCAGAGATCTGCCAAAAAAAAAAAAAAAAGTAATTGCTAAAAAGAAGTCTGATGCTTATAATCACTTAAAAATTATTTCCCTAGGTTAACAGACACCAAATTAAAATAATCAAGAGTTTGAGTGATTATTTTATGTTTTTATATGAAACCGGTTTGGGAGAGGTCTGTACAATGGACATGTTGCACGTCCATTAGATTTGCAGAAATTTCCAGGAAGAATTAATTCACAGCAGCTCAACCTGGTAGGAAAGCAGACAAATTGGCTCCGGTTCCTGGGAGCAGGCGGTGTGCAGGTGGGTGTGGTGGTAACATGCTGCGCTGATTGGCTGCTTTGGGCCGATCAGGTGCCTGGTTCTTGTGCAGGCTCACATGGTCTCCAAGACAGGCATCTGCCTTGGAGAAGAGCCTCCTCCTTCCAGATCAAGGTTACTTGATCGTGGATAACGAGACGTTTAACATTTTCCATAACGACATTTCCTTTGTAACAAATCAGGTTCAAAAGAAACATTTTATAAACATTTAAGAAACCAGTACTCTCACGGTAGGACTCTTGCACCTGGTATACATTCAAAATGATGGGAGAGGAAAGTTAAATGGTCAAAAACTCTAGAGCTTCACATCCTTATGTCGGAAAATGGATCTCTCTCTCTCGCTCCCTCCCTGAATTCTTCTGTCATCTATTTCTTTAGCCCCATCAGTCATGTAGCTACCTATTATCTATGTAGCTACCATCATCTATCTTTTATTATTTTTTTAGTAAGGGCCACCTATTTGTATTCACTATGTACTTTTATGCCCTTCTGCATGTAATCATTACAGATATGTTGCCAGCTTAGTATCACCACTGTATAAATAAGAAAAGAAAGAAAGAGAAAAAGAGAGAGAATGATATTTATACTTTAATGTTGTATAACTGTAGACTAGAAAAGTCTGGATAGCAGATTTTATTTTGGCTAAAATGTATCAAAACATCTAATGCACTCTAAGAGAAGGTCAGCCTGGAGAGGCTCTGGTCTTTTAGAAACATATTACTGTAAAAGACATGAGTCATGCAAACACAATAATCATAAATATAAGATATGTTAAAAAAAACTTACCAAATTTTAATGAGAAAAAAATCAGGATGTTTACTTAACAAATGTCCATAAAACACCTTTCTGCCGCTACCCACGGTGTATACACCGTGTTACAGCATTAACTCTTGGCAGAAGGAGCTCAGCTGAGTTAGAACAGCACTGTGATGGCCCTGCCGGTGAGTGAGGTGAGGGTTTAGCTTTGGGATGTGGTGTGTGAAGCTGGAGGGCTCCTGGCGGGAAGCTGAGATGCTGGTCTAACAGAGTGCCCTTTATTCATTAGCCAGTGAAGCTATGTTGTAGAAATCCCCAGTAGCTCACTTCAAGGCAAGATTAAATTCAGACAGAATATAGTTTTCCACTGGCAAAGTTGGGTGTTTTGTGAAATTTTTAAAGCGCCAATAAATGTTATATTTGGTCCATTTACTAATATTTAAGTAAAGACATTGAGGTTATTTTCTTTTCTTTGGAGATAAAGTCATTGTAGGATGTGGAGAAAATTATTTCTGAAAAGGGCACGGTGTTACGTAATCTAGACATATCTTAAAGGGCTTTGGTTTTCTTGAGAAAGGGATAGCCACCCCCCTCTACTTCCAAAACCAAAAGGAAATAGGAAACTATTAAGTTTTGAAATTAGATTTGTCTAAGTTAAGACGAAGAATAAAGATCATTTTAAAAGAATAAAAACAAAAAAGTCAATGCATTGCTGCTGTGACTTTCCTAGAACAAGCTTTTAGGGTGAAAGGCATCCATATAAACATGCCAGAAAAGCAGATGCTGTCACAGAAACTAGACAGGCCAAGGGGGAGATAGACACAGGCCTTTCCTAGAAGGCAGCTCAAACAAAGAAGAAATTCCCACAAACCACTGGATGGATTTATACTCAATCTTCATCTTTCAAAAAAAAAAAAAATAATAATAATACTTAAGCCCATGGAAGATATAAAAGGAAACTTTGTATGAGGTTTAGTTAATGGGTTGAGTATGCACGACCATGAAAGTTTTTTTTTTTGCTGGGTGTTTCAGTTCGGAGATAACTTCTGAAAGGACGGCAAAGCCTTAGGCTGAAATGAGCTGAGCTAGACTTGGAAGTTATGCTTGAAGTGCCCTCTGCTGCCTTCTGGAGACACTGTAACATTTCAGAAACACATTTTAGCAGGCTCGGTGGAAATCAACTGGATTAACCACTTGGCATTTATTTTGAGGTTTTATTTCTTTTATAAGTTTGCATGTCACATGAATAAGGTAACATACTGCTCTTCTCGCCTCTGTGGTCCTGTCCTCAGCCAAACTGTGGGAAGCAGGAGGGTCTTAGCCATTTTTGGATGGTTTAATAACACTGAGTAAAAGTAATGATCCAATGCTAACTGGAGGAGAAACAAGATATTTTCATTTAAGAATGTGACACTGAACGTGTGCACACACGACCTTGTCATACTGTAGTCTAGGTAGGCAAAACAGGGGTCAGGGAAATGGAGGGCAAGTTCATTTGACTGGGTTGTTCCCCCCAGCACCCCCTCATATAGTTCTTATCTTCCTTTTAATTAACTTTTCAGTTTGTTAACTAAAAATCATCTCAACGATAATTAGACAAATAATTTATTTGATAATCAAAGTGAGAAAGTCGAACCCAAGATGCAGCCTGACAGATTTTACTCTGTGAGCAGTGTTCTAATACACACAGTTTACATTTAGCTTTTGTGTGTAGCAAGAGTGAGTCATTGACATTAGTAGTGTTCATTCTTGACAGGAGAGACTTCTAAGTCTTTCTGTCGTACAGATGTAATGATCTAACAGAAGGGAATGCATCAGTTTGTTCTTTCCTTCTTCTCTAAAGAATGCATGCAGAGACGCCAAGACTGGGTACCCCTCATTAAATCTTCTTTATCTGGTTGTAGTGGTGAGAATAGGCTGGCTTTCCCTTCACGAAGTGAACTCCTGCAGACAGGATGGCGTCTGAGCAGATGGCTGTACTATCTTGCCTGCTGGACCAAGGGAGCCATGGAGTCCCAGAAAAGTTTATGATCACAATTTTTAAATGAAATAAACACTTGTTAAAAAAATTCC